ATCACCTCCCACAGCGACAAGCAGCGGGAGCGGCGGGAACAGAGACGGACTTGCTTCCGGTGGGGCTTCCTCTGCGGGACTGAGCATCAGCGCCTGCCCAGGGGTCTCCTCCGGACTCCCAGCGGGGCCCTGCTTCCCCCACCCGATCAGAGGATCTGGAGGCGCATTGAGAGCTTTGTCTCAAGTTTCCCTCGTGGCCACCTGTCATTTCTTACTTGATAACAAACAGCTCTGCCCTCACTTGCCTCTACCAGAGTCAGAGACCAAATGCCTTTTACTATCTGGAAATCACCCGAAGCCTCCACCACCGAAACTGACGAAACCCAAGGGCAGCCCCTCCACCGGGACCCCACAGGGCAGCCCCTCCACCGGGACCCAGGGCAGCTCCCCCTCAACAGAGAATGAAAACTGCAGTGTCTTCATCATCAGAGGCTGGAACCCAAATTGTCTTTTTTTTTAATCCTCACCTGAAGACATGTTTTATTGATTGGGAGGGGGAATGGGGAGGGGAGGGGAAGGGGAAACATCGATGTGAGAAACTTTAAATCAGCGGTTCTCAACCTGTGGGTCGCGACCCCTTTGGGGGTCGAACGACCCTTTCACAGGGGTCGCCTAAGACCATCCTGCATATCAGATATTTACATGACAATTCATAACAGTAGCAACATCACGGTTATGAAGTAGCAAAGAAAATAATTTTACGGTTGGGTCACAGCATGAGGAACTGTATTTAAAGGGCCAGAAGGTTGAGAACCGCTGCTTTAAATGGTTCCCAATTTCTGTCTTTACGACAGTTATTCCTGCTCAGAACGTGGTCCTCACCCGGAGCCCTGCGCTGACGTGGCCCTGGAGGAGACAAGGGAGCCCCAAACAGGTCAGGTTTCCGGGGAGGGTGCTGACTTCAGAGCAAGGGTCAGGCGTCCCATATTAAGTTCACTCTATGAACAGCAGAAAAACCACTTCCGATTCCTGCTCTAAAGAGTTCCAACCCTGCGGCTCAGCTCCGTCACAGGCCCAGCAACAGCACTGCCACTGCCCCTTCAACCAGCGCCCGCGCTCCGGGCTCAGGGTAACGCATCTGCTGGCCGGCAGGTCACAGTTATTCTAAGTGACTAGCCAGGAAGCCGTGCGGTCACAGGAGGCAGGCACTGCTGTTAATAACGAAACAGAAATAAACATTAAAAAAAGGCACGTCCTGTCAGTCACTCCCATGGCCACGCTGGCGGCCGGTCCCTGCTCCTACTTCACTGGTGCGGCTGAAGAAAACCAACCGGCACCAGAGCCCCTCAAACCCCTGGACAGGGACGTCCAGTGAGCTCAGGCCTCCATCCTCCAGCGACCCGACAGCAGCCAGCGCTCCCAGGCGCACCCCCCCAGGAGCCCCCACGGCACCAAAGTGCCCCAGGCGGGCCAGCAGTCAAGACAGAGCTGCATTCGGGAGGGACCAGTGAGCTCATGTCCAGGTCTGTTTGTTTTTAATAAAATACTTGGTACACATAAAGTAATTTGTCACGCATGTAATTATAAAGCACAACAGAAAACACGCCTGAACCCATCACTCAACCTAAGAAATCTGTCCAGCCTCTATTAACTATCATGCTCTTAGTTCCCCCGGAAGGAGGACAGCTGTGACAACAGGTACAATGGCGGAGCGGCTCCTGGGAGGACATTCTGTCCCCATGTCCCTGAGGCAGAGAGATCAGGGCTTCACTTCAGGACGAGAGGGGTCACGGGGACTCAGTACCTCAGACAGGCTCCTTCCTGGGGCCAGTTCTACTGCTGAGGGTATTCAGTGGCTTCCCCTACCTGGAGAATATTCTAGCATTTCACATGTTTCAAAGAATACTATTGTTGCCCTAGCCGGTTTGGCTCAGTGGATAGAGCGTCGGCCTGTGGACTGAAGGGTCCGGGTTCGATTCTGGTCAAGGGCACATGCCTGGGTTTCGGGCTCGATCCCCAGTGGGGGGCATGCGGGAGGCAGCCAATCAATGATTCTCTCTCTCATCATTGATGTTTCTATCTTTCCCTCTCTGAGATCAATAAAAATATATATTTAAAAAAAGAATACTATTGTTGACTAAGGCCCAAATGATTCTTTCTCATCTTTACTGAGACATAGTTGAAGGCCAGAATACATTTAAAAAACAGACCTTAAAGTCCAATTTCACATTCACACACACAAGCACAGCCCTCTGCTCCCCAGTGGGTTCAGAGCACAGACAAGCTGGGAAGGAGCGCCCAGCCTCCCGGGCCCCCTTGGGGCGGCAGGCCTACCTCCCCAAATACGGCCACAGGCCTGCTGAGAGCGAGCTCAGGCCCGCCAAGGGGTCCTCAGAATGCTCCCCGAGACATGACAAAATCGGGCACACAGAGCAGCAGGGCAGCGTGAGGAGTGACTGGGTGCCCTGCTGGACCCCTCACACCAGGAACCACAGCGGACAGAGGCCACCGCAGGCCTGGGGCAGGGCTGAGCCACAATGGGCCCCATTCTCCCTGGAAGCTCATGCCGGAGGGAGGGAGGCCAGGACATTCCTTCACCCCCTCCCACAGAGGGAAAGGGCACAGGAGGCTGCGTCAGCAGCAGCATGAGCAGCCATTTTCCTCCCCAGCTGCGGGAATCAAAAGGAGCCCCTCCCCTCCTCAAACACCAGCCTGGAGCCCCGAGTGCCATCCATTCAATCAGGCGGTTCCACGGCCTGTGCAGGAGCCTCCTCGCTGGTCAGCACTGCCCGGCCGGAGGGAAAAACCTCCGGGCTCTGAGGGGCGTGGACACCACAGGCCCCGCCAGCTCAGGGCTGGAACTGCAAGCAGAAAAGGCCTTTTCCTGCTACGGTTCCTCCCGGCACGGAGCCAAGGCGCCCAGGCACCGTTTAAGCTGCTTTACAGCCGGGAAAGCACATCCTCAGGCCGGCAAACGCAGTGTGTCAGTCTACACTGCTGACCCTCTTCCAGGTAAGCAGAAGCAACAGCTGGCAGCAGAAACCCAGAGGAGGGCAAGTCCAGGATCCTACTGTTATCTATTTGTGACTTTAATGAATTCTATTTTTAGACCTTTAATAAAGAGCTTCTTTTCTAGTCTCCTCCTACCAAATGTCTCTACTCAGGCAATTCAATCTTGGCAACACAGCTCAAAAGTCTGAATATGCAAGACACTTATTGCCCTGCCGATGTGGCTCAGCTGGTTGTCGTCCCGGGCACCAAAAGGTCACCGGTTAGATTCCCGGTCAGGGCACATTCCCGGGTTGCGAGTTTAAGCCCCCATCAAAGTGCGTGCAGGAGGCAGCTGATTCTCTCTCTCCCCTCCTCTCTCTCTAAAATCAATAAAAATATAAGAAAAGAAAAATGTAAGACATTACTGAGATATGCTTAACAACAGGCAGAGCCAAGTTCTCCACACCTCCTCATTTGCCCAGGAGCCAGAATCCCATTTGCCCAGTAGCCCTGCTCAAGGGCTATCCTGAGGCAGGTCTCCAGTACTTGAAGGTGCAGTAAGCGAGGCTCCCTGAGGTCAGAACAGATCCAATGCCAGGACAGCCGACCAGCTGAGCAGGAGTACGCACAGGCACGTACAGGGATGAGGGGCCGCCTCATTCCATAGTAAACAAGGGCTCGGAAAACAGATGGTGTCCCAGGTTCTGCTTAAAAGCCAAGCAAAGAGGAAACACTATTTGGAATTCCATTACTGACTATATCATTTTTCTTAAAAAAAAAAAAAAAAAAAAGGCTAGAGAAACAACCAGCCCTAAAGAACGAGTGAGCTAACTAAGAGGCATTTATGTCAACTAGGACAGAGCTGGCTCCCTTCTGCCATGGACGGCGCTGGGAAGCCTCAGTAATCCCAGACCGCCCACCCAGAATGCCTCAGGGAGATGCTCCCAGCACAGGGGGTTAGAGCTGACATGCCCGACCTTGCAAAAACAAGCATCTTCCAATTCCACTAACTCAGAAAGGGCTGTCAGAGGTGCTCCTTGTTTGTAGATCCCCTACTCCATCCACAGACACTCAACACCCACAGAAATGAAGAGCAAATGTCAAAACTGAGGCCAAGCTGGGCCCTGGACACTCTTCCCTGAATGACACATCCTTCCAAGTGCTTCACTCCTCGTCCTTGAGCTCCCTTCCCCTCAGCTGGCACCTGCGCCTGTACTCGGGTACCAAGGCTGTGACTGCCTCAGGTAGGATGACTCTGTGGCCACCCCCTCCCCCCAGTGGCTGGGCGCATCGAGCCTGGGCCTCTATGTGGCTATAAAATTGCACACCCATGCAAGTCACAGAAAAAGGACTAGAAAAATGTACTGTGCTTAAGAGTAACAATCAATACAAACCTGCTTGACATTAGAGGGTGCGCTCCTGCAAAGGGTAAGTCACGTCTCACTTTTTCAAAAGCTTTGTATTTAACATTATGGTGATAAGAAAAAGATTCCAAAAAAAGACAAAGAAAAAGATTCCGGAAACTTCATGCACAAAGATGTGAACTGCAGCATTACCTATTATAACCACAGTTAGAGACACTATCCATCTAAGAACCGGGGTCAGGTTAACCACAAAAAAATGGGGTATTTATAGGGCAACGTTCATGCTATAAGGCCAGGAGGGAAAAAGAGAATATAAATTAAATCGATACTCTAACCTAAACTTGGTGAAAGTGCTGCCCAAGGGCTATCTCTGGCGGACACCCAGGAACCAGGGAATGACGGTGCTCCTAGGGGGGGAAGTGAGGACCGAGGGGTTGGGTAGAATCAAGACTTCTTTCCCTTGTATAAGCCTTTGGAACTTTCAGTTCGTACCATGTGCTGGCATTTCCTATTTAAAGAATAAAATTGGGGGAACAAGGGATTTTCCCTTTTCTTTCTACTATCCTGTGTTTCTCTTTTAAATATCTGTATTATTTGATCACCTTCTTCCCACTATAGCGCTAACGTTCCATGGAAAATCATGCCGCCGAGTCTATGTTTATGGCATCGTCGTTCTCGTGAGAAACCCCTGTTCGGGTGCCTTACCTCCCCTCCTGGGCGAGGCTGCTCCACAAGCCGTGTCTCCCTGGGCGGAGGCCCTGAAGGAAAGAAGGAAGCGGTATCGGTGACTGCCCACAGCCCAAGTGGAATCGCGCCACAGTGACCGACTCCAAAGGAAGTGGCAATGCCACTCAGTCCCCTGCCCACACCACCAATTAGTCACCTTCTGTGTCAAAGGGTGACAAAGGAAATGAATGTTTTCTATAGAGTCAATCCAGGGCCAAAAATTATAAACAATTTCAAAACGTCGCATGAATTACAATGTCTAAAAGTTAGGCAGTGACATTTGCAGAAACAATGAGCTCAAGAAGGCATAAATGAGAAAGGACAGCCTCAACACTATTAAATGTGCCCTGATGTGTAGGATAGAAACATTTCAGTCATAAAGGTGACTTTTTAATACTTGGCTGGTGGGTCATTAGAATCCTGCTTTTGAAATGTAAGTATAAATTAAGTCAACATACTGCTAAGGTTCCTGCAGATTTACTTCACGCCAACAGAGAGCCCACAACAAACTTCACCGACTCAGCCACCCTCGGTTCTCGGTACTGTACTGCTGCATCCCACCCACCCGTCCACCCGGACCCGGAGCAAGGCTATGAAATTGCTTAGCTCTCAAACCTAAGAAAGAGGAAAATAAGAAACCCTATTCATTGAGGTTAAATTAAGCCCTCTGGGGTGTAATTTTGTAAACTACTCTAAAACCCTATTTATAGAAATGGCTGTCTGAGCAGTATTACCAATGATCAGAGAGCAGGGGGCGGTCAAAGGCAAGGCAGGTTACAGCAAAACTGCGTTCAATTCACACCCAAAGGGGCTCTCCCCTTCCCCTTCCCCTCTTCTTTCCCCACAGGCCAGCGTCTCCTAAACTCTCAAGGGCCCCATGAGACTTGCAGCCAGAGGAGCAATGGCCCCCAAGACCCCTTTCTGACTCTCCAGTGAGCTGCAGCAGCCCGGCCCTAGCTCACTTCTTTCCATAACTTCCTAGAAACCAATGCTGCCCGCCCCCCCCCAGGATCTCCTGTTGCTTCTTCTATCCTAAGCCCCTCCTTGTTTCACTGTCCTCGGCTTTAATAAATGAGCTCTAAAAAAAATGAATACCCAAGGCATACTGGGAAGTGACCAGATTAATCCTGTATATTCAAAACCACCATCACCTACTCCAGGCCTGGAGTCAGGTGAGAAAGGTGCGACTTCAGAAGCAGCATGAGATACAGTTTCTCATGTCGTGGTGACCCCCAACCATAAAGTTATTTTCGTTGCTACTTCATAACTGTAACTTTGCTGCTGTTATGAATTGTAATGTAAATATCTGATATGCAGGATGTATTTTCATTGTTACAAATTGAACATAATTAAAGCACAGTGATTAATCACAAAAAAAAAAGCAGCAGCATGACACGGGCAAAGGCACAGACAACACTCCTGAACGTGGAGGAGGGAGAACACCTCACTCCAGCCCTGGCCTGGCAGCTCCACTGGTTGGAGCGTCCTCGTCCCCATACACCACGGCTGTGTGGGTCTGAACCCGTCGGGGCACAGACAAGAATCAATGCAGAAATAAATGCAACAACAAATGGGTGTTTTTCTCTTTCTCTCTCCCGTCCTCCTCTTTCTCTCCAAAATCAATAAATTTAAAAAAAAAAAAAAAAAAAAAAAGGTTCTCTGTTCCTACATAACTACAAACTCCTCCATGTGGCATCCTGGCTCCAGCCCAGCCGCCAGAGCACACAGAAAGGCGCCCCATCCTCCCCCCCCACCCCTGGCCTCCGCTCACCTCTTTCCCTCCGGAGTGGTGACCTTCCTGCCACCACCCCGTCACCAATGAAACCATGACCCTTCTGGACGCCCCGGCTCAGAAGCACTGCTCCCCTAAAGTCTGCCCCCAGCCGCGGGCCCACACGCCGTGGCTCACTCCAGCCTGTTGCCCAGAGCAAGTGGCACAGGCCCCAGAAAGGCTCTGACGAGCCCTCATTTCTGAGAATGGTCCCTCATGGCATGTGCCTGGGGTCCTGGCATTCTGCCCACCCCCAGAAACCTGGGCTTGGTCTTCGCCCGAGAAGCACCCATCCAGGCCATTATCACCAGTTTGTTGCAACACAAACGCAGATGGGCAGAGCCAAATGCTCAAGTGAGCTCAAATCCCACCTCGGCCACGGTGACAGTCACAACCCTGGGGACATTCCTTCATCTGTGACTCAGTTTCCTCAGCTCATAAGCATCAGCAACGGTGCACGTGGAGCAGAAACACCAGCGGCCGCCAAATGGAGCTGATGCAGGGCCATGGCATTACTGACCGAGACAGCAGGGAAGGCTGGAATAATGGGGGGGGGAGAATTGAGCATGCTCTCCTCTGCCACACCTACTCACCTACTCTCACAGATCAATACACCAGCCCTGGCCAACAGGAAATGGAACCCCCCAAGTTCAAGTGCCCGAGAAAGTTTTTTTTATATATATATATTTTATTGATTTTTTACAGAGAGGAAGGGAGAGAGATAGAGAGTTAGAAACATCAATGACAGAGAAACATCAATCAGCCGCCTCCTGCACGCCTCCTACTGGGGATGTGCCCGCAACCGAGGGTACGTGCCCTTGACCGGAATCGAACCTGGGACCCTTCAGTCCGCAGGCCGAGGCTCTATCCACTGAGCCCAACCGGTTAGGGCCGAGAAAGTTTTTAACAACCAACCGAGTCCTGTCCTAAACAGCAACCCAAGTCCCAGTGGCCCCAGGGTCCCTCCCAACCCCATCACTTTCCATGTCTCACCTGCAAAGGAAGTGGTTAAAATTCCTGGTCATGCTTAGGCTTCTGACCCACACATTCCTGAATACAGGCCCCTCCCCTGGAACCGCTTGGCATCCCCTCGGCTCAACCTTTTCAGCCTCTTCTCAGAGGGCTCCTCCCCCTCCCCTCCCCTCCATTGGCTGACCCAACACCAGGCCCCGACCCTCTCCCCTCCCTGCACCCTACCTCCTGGCCACCAGCAAGATCTTTCTAAACGCAAGTGTGGCCATGGCTCCTCACTGGCGACAGCCTCCCAGCTCCTGCACCCTGAACGTGAAGTCTGACCTCAGCACAGGAAAGGCCCAGGCTCCCAACTGTCCAGCTGGAGGACTCACAGGTGCTATTTTAGGCGCTGGTGAGCGTGCAGTTCCCTGTGCCCGACCTTGCTGTCCCCCAGCTAATGCCTGCTGGCCCTGCAGGCCTCCGCTCAGGAATTCCCCCCATCCTCAGGCTCCCACAGCGCCATGGCAGCACCCTGAGTGGGCAGACACCTCCAATCACAGCTTCCCTCTCCCCCACAGCCCTCAAACCGAGCTCCCTCAGGGCAGAGCCAGCCTCTGTTCCGTGGGTGCCCTGGACCCACCACAAAAGTTGGCAGGTAGTAAAGCCAAGTGCTTGTTAAGTGAATGGATATCTACGCCAAGTTAAATGTTCAGAACAGTGAAGACTTGCCCTCCGCCTCCTTCAACAGAAGCCCATAGCCACACAGCTTCCATGCCCGCTGCCCATGGAAGACGCCCCGTAAGGAGTCACACCAGACCCACAGGCGTGAGAGTCACACCAGGCATCCAACCCCTCCTCAAACCTCATCTCTGGAGAAATGGCTCCTCCGCCTTCTTTCAGCATCAGGCCATGGGCTCTGACTCCAAGGCAAACAGAACAAAGTCCTATTCAACTTCTCCACGTTTCACCTATAGCGTTTAAGCCTCCCAGGTTGAATTATTTTTTAACGTTTTTAGATTGTACAGAGAGGGAGGGAGAGAAACATTGATGTGGGAAACATCGATCAGCCGCCTCCCTACACACCCGGACCCGGGATCAAACCCTCAACCTGGGCATGTGCCCCAACTGAGAATGGGACCAGCGACCCTTCTGTGCGTGGGAAGAAGCACTGAGCCACACCAGCCCGGGCGGTGGCATTTTTTTTTTTTAAATAGACATTCCAAAAGCGTCATGTCACTGAACACTTAGGCATAGGACGACCCGATAAAGTTACAAAGTCCCATCTACACCCGAGTCCAGAACACCTGGTCACACGTCCAGCTCTCTACCTGGACTTCCGTTCTATAAACTCCAGCCTCACTGCCGGCCTCGGCTCCAGGCAGGAGCCACTCCCACCCGCTCGTGGACGGGACCCCAGGCGGGGCTCCCAAGTGGGAACTCCGGGCTCTCAACGTGGGTGCCCCGCGCTGCTCCCACCAAGGCAACGCTTCCGGCCTCGGTTAAAGCCGACTCCGAGGTCAGTTTACAAACCTAACATGTGGCCCCAGAGGCTACAAGGCGCGTTCTACACCCGCAGTTGAGGTATGAAGTCAACTTGGAACTGCTGGCACAAGGGCTTCGAGCCCGGAGAGCATGTCCTCCGGAGACATTGCCCAAATGCGCCCGCGGGGGAGCTGGGTTCCCACCGAGTGAAAGGTGAAAAGGCAGCCGCCTCCCGAGGAGTTCGCGTGTGCGCTCGGGTGGGGGCGGGGGTGACCCCTGGGCTCCGGGCAACCCGGGGCCTGGCGGCGCGGGGCCCTTCCCCGCCTCCCGGGGAGGCGCTCCACGGCCCGGCCTCCGGCTTCCGCCCCACGGGGCCGCGCGACCCTCGGTGGGAGCCGGAGAGGCGGCCCCCGGACCGCCGCCGCCCGCGACCGCCGCGCAGGCCCCGCGTTCCCGAGCGCGCGGGCCGGGCCGAGGCCTTGCCCATTGCCGCGGCGCGCGGCCCGCCCAGCCCCGAGCGCCCCTCGCCCTCGCCCGGGGGACCGAGCGCAGGGGGCGTTCCTGCCCAGGCCGCGCCGCCGCCTCACCGCAAGGACGTCCGCGACGGCGTCCCCGCCCCGGGCCGGACAGCAAGCAGCAGCAGGTGTTCCTCGGGAGGCTCGGCCGGCGACGGGGCCCGGGCTGCCAGGCTCAGCGGCGGGGCCGGGCGGCGCACTCACCGAGCGCCGGCGGGCGGGCCGCGGCAGGTGCTCGCTCCTCGGGGCCGCACGCCGCTCCGCCGCCGCTCCCGGGGGACTCGGCGCGAAGCCACCGCCGCCGCCGCCTCCGCCGAGCCCGAGGAGCGCGAGCGCCGCACCGCAGCCTCCGCGCGAGCACGTCCCGGGCGGTGAGAGGGCGCCGAGCGCGAGGGCGGGGCGCGCGGCCGGAGCCTAGCAACCGCCTGACACGCGAGTCCCGCAGCCAATCCCGCGGCCGCTCCGGGAGGCGCCGACCGACGGTCCGCGCGACGCCCGCTTCTGCCTGCGTCCGCCGCTCCGCAGCGCGCCGCACCCGCGCGCAGGCCCCGCCCCCGCCCGCGCCGCGCCGCTCATTGGCCCGCCACGCCCCCGTCCGAGGGCACGCCCCGTCCTGGAAGCCCCGCCCCCAGGCCAGCCGCGTCCATCCCTGGGACACGCCCAGACCCAGCCGGTCGCCCCGAGCGCGCTGGACTGGGCGTGGGGGAGGGGCGCCGCACCCAGTGCCCCATCCTCCCTTCCCGGCGCCCCGGTGTCCCCACCCCTCCCCACCCCAGGCGTTTGGGCCTCGGAGACGAATCCCGCTAAACCGGGTGGTTCGGCTCGAGAACTGGCCTGGCCACAACTGGCCACCCCTCGACCGCGTTCGCCCTCCTGCTTCCCCCGAAGCAAATCAGGAGGCATCTCTGAGCCGTGGAAACCATCAGGAAGCGCCCTCCAAACTGCCGAGGGTGATGGGCCTGTTGCCCGGCACTTAGCACAGGTGGGGAAACTGAGGCGAGGGCCGGCCGGGCAGGAAGCCTGACTCCCAACCGGCTGGGAGGCCCGGGAGCGCCTAGGGCGCGCCTCGGGTTTGACCCGCATACCCTCCCCCTGCTCTGAACGCGGGAATCTGATGCCTACGTGGGAGCCAGAAATAGCTCTGATCAGGGCGCACCGGTCACTCCTGGAGGCCTGCATTCTTTCCGGGGGCGGGGGAGCCAGGGACGGGGTGGCTGCTGAAGTCTGTCTCCCTTCACCCGGAGGGTCCTAAAGGCGCTCTCGCTCTCCTTACCCACAGCCCTACCCCAAAGGCCCGCACATGACCGTAGTAACTGGACCTGTGCAGGCAGGGATGGGTCTGGGGAGGGGACCCTGCTCCCCTTCCTCCCCAAACCCTGCACAGGATGTGTCCATTCCCGTCCAGGCCTGAGCTCTTGTCAGGGAGCATTTTGAGCCCAGAACTGGCTGCTGCCTGCCCGGAAGGGGGGGGAGGGTTCTCCCTGAATCCAGATAAGCTCTGGGTCTCCCCTGCTTCTCCCCCCTCCTCCCCCCAACCTTAGGAGCACCTGGGAGAAGCACATTTCAAAGAGCAGAAAGGCGTGCCCCATCTCCCAAACACACATTGTGATTTTTCATACTTAACTGTATAGGCTCCAAACCCCATTCATGCGGACTTGAAAAGGAACGAACAACCAGGAAAAGGCCCCACGTCATCTCTTCGATGTTAAACTACAAACTAATGGCCTTTCAAATTCAGCTCTAAAATGCCGCTGCTTTGAAAAGGCTAAGGATGCAGAAAAGTCATTTGGGTTTTTAAGCAGAACATATCCTCTCATTCACTCCTTCAGCTTACGGAGTCTCCCCCCACACACGCACACCCACCTGCCCCGAAAAACACACCAGGCACTGCTTGGCAGCCCTGGGTTCTGCACGGGATTTTAGTGTCTGAATATGTATGTAAATGTTTTTCCAAAACAAAAGGCTGCACTGGGTACAGGCCTCATGAGACACCCCCCTTCTACCATCTGCACAGAAGCTGATCATCCATGGATGCCAGAGCAACTCCCCTTCTTCCCTTTTGGCACTGGTCTTGCCAGATAAAGCACCAGACCACATTCTGGCAGCCAGGGTCCCTGCACCCCAGGCCCAAGCACCCCCAGAGCTCTGGCCAAGGGCGAATCTCTACCTCAACTAGCTGGTGCCCAAAGGTGAGCTCGCCCTTCCTCATCCCGGAGGAGGGAATAAGGACTAGAGCTAAATCCTTGCCAGTCCCCACCTCTCCAGGTTTGGGCCTCAGCTGGAGGTGCCGTGGCCCCAGGCTGGCCCTGATGCTCTTCCCCTCCCCTCGCCCCCCAACCTTGGCAGAACAGCTCCGAGCTCTGGGCCTCGATTGCTGGCTTGCTTTATTTTTTGTCTGGAGTTGGGGTTCGCCCAACCTCCTGTCCCTTCAAGCCCTAGAACAGGGGTCCTCATGCAAATACAAATATTGTATTTGTTCCCATTTTGTTTTTTTACTTCAAAATAAGATATGTGCAGTGTGCATAGGAATTTGTTCATAGTTTTTTTTTTAAACTATAGTCTGGCCTGCCAACGGCCTGAGGGACAGTGAACTGGCCCCCTGTTTACAAAGTTTGAGGACCCCTGGCCTAGAAGTCAGAAAGGCTGCTGGCCAGAGTCGGACCAGCCTCTTGGTGCCTAACCAGCCCCCATAGAGCCCAGTGCAGAGTAAAGAGGGAGGGGGTCAGCTGGGCCCATAGGTCGGGCTCAAGCTGTAAAGTCAAGGCCTTGTTACCCTGTGGTCAGGAGAGCCGACGCCTTTCCCCTCCTGGGGCACTGCATGTCCGTCCCCAGGGCCCAGCACAAAGTTTCCAGTGACTCTTGGGGCTGTTCTGGAGCCCCAGCAGGACCCCAGCCGTCCTAGGTCAGGCTTGTGCCCACAGCCAGTCGGAGAACAAAACCAAGAATAAGGCCCAGAACACGCCCAGGAGCAGCTGCTCAAAGCGGTCGGGGCCTGGGGAGGACGATCGAGAGGCCGAGAACCGGGCTCTTCAGGACCGAGAGCCACCCCTCCCCTCTCCTGGCCCTTGGGCTCTCAGTGCCTTCTCCACTCACCCCCAGCCAGAGGCTCCAGGAAGGCTGCCAGCCCAAGGTTCGTCCCCCACTGGAGCATGAGCCCTTGAGGCCAGAGACCCATTTGCTTGGTCCCACATTGCAACCATCACCTCACAGTCTGCCCATGGTAGAGGCTCAGTGTCTGTTTGGGAAGGAAGAAATCAGGGGGGCGACCAGCCTCGCCGCCTGGTGGGCCGTCATCCCCAGGGTCCAAGTCCTGAGCAAGGCTGAGGCAAACGTGCCGGGGTCTCCTTGGGGCTGAGATGCCTTAGCCAAGGCCTCGGTTCTCGTGCAGGTAAAAGCCAGCAGACACCTACGGGATCAAACTTCTCTCTGGGCTGAGGGTTCCAGGGCTCTCTATTCTGGCGTGTTCCCAAGGAACCCAGGCCAAGGGCCGGTGCCCAGCCTCAGATTCTTCCAGAGGGAGGAAGGCTCCGGCTGCTGATCCGCCCCCAGGCCCGGTGGAGAGGGGCAGGGGGCAGTGCTGGCTGAGGGTGAGGCTTCTGACCCAAATGCCAGGCCTTCAGGTCTGCGTGGAGCAGTGGGCTGGCAAGCAGGGCAGCCAAGTCAGGGCAAGGGAGGGGTCCCTTTTGTCTGAACTTAACAGAAGGCAGATTGTCTGGCAGCTCTGGCAGAATGAAAGGGCTGATAAGTTCATCCGGGAGAAACTGCCAGTAGGCGTGTTTGCGGGTCACCACCAGCCTTCCCAGAAGCCAGCCCCTTCCCTTGCACGGCCTCGCTCCAGCGCTCCCAGCAGCCCCCTTCGCACAGGCCTGGCACAGGCCTCCCTGCGGTCAGCCAGGCGGCAGCTCCCACACCTGGCCTCCGGGACAGTCCAGTCCAGGGGGACAGGACCCCACAGCCAGGGGGAGTAGAGGTTGAGTGAAAAAAGTCACTTCTCCCCCTGGCCCCCCGGGTGGGCACACATGGCCTCTGCCCCCCCTAAGCACGCGGCACTCCCTGGGATCAGACAGTCCCCCCAGGCCGACTTCGGGTCACTGTTCCCAAAACACTGGGTTTACTGGCCTTGAGCACTGGACTCGACACCAGGTTAGGTCTAGGCTGACCGGCAGGGAACGCCAGCAAAGCCCGGCCTGTTTGTTGGTTCTCTTTAGTCCCTGACCCGCTGGCTCCTCAGCTCAGTCTGGGGAGGGCGGCCCACACTCAGCTGGGTCAGCCGGGAGCGGCCCTTCTCTGTTCTCAGCCATATGTCCATGCCTGGCTCAGGGCCGGACCCCAGCATCCTCCAGGGCAAACCCCTCTTTCTCAGAGTTCGCTTGAGACCTGAGCATGTCTCTCACCAAGCTGCACCCCCTCGGCGGCCCTTTAGTCAAGAGACAGGGACCAGTTACCCAGCAACCACTGATTCTGACTGTCATCATGGCTGACGGGTATGCCCTTGGACAGAGCGGACAGAGAGGCAGCGCCTCTGGCAGCCCCCCCTGTGGCCTGGGGACCCCGAACACTCCTGGGAGGAATGAGAGGGGTCCCGGGGGTCATCTTGAGGGAAACTAATTATGGGATAAAGAGTGACTGTCAGCTCATCGGCCTCCCATTGTGTCTGCGTGAGGAATAAACTCCGTGACCGCAGATGAGCTGCTTGCCTTTTCTGCTCGTCCGCATCATCGAGTGACCTCGCATGCGGGCTTCAGACCTGCCTGCTGGCTGAGCGAGACAGATGACCACTTTGTGTGACTGAGTCGGGACCAGGGTGAAACATCCATCATGTGTTTTCAACCCACAGACATTTTCCGACTCTGTTGTACGCTGGAGCCCAGCAAGGGACAAAAGGAACAAGGCTGCTCTTGCAGAGCCCAAATCCTCGTTAACACGACAGACAGCAAATACATAACAATGATAATAAGTCCGTGAAAATGGGATCATCGGGGGCTGGGAAGGCTTGGAGGGGTGCAGTTCAGCAGGGAGGTCCCGCAGGAGGCGAAGGAGGAAGCCGGGGTTTAGGGAAGGCATGGAACAGGCCTGGGAAGGCGGAGGAAGTGTGCCCGGGTCTGAGGAGCCCTGCAGGTGGCCATGGCCTGAGCAGTGAATGGAACAGGGAATGAGGCAGAAAGAGCACCTGGTGGGAGGGCAAGCGCTGGAGCTGGACTGCACCAGGCCGGGCTTTGCCAGAGTAGATCCCAGGACCAGGACCAGGCAGGTTAGCTGAAGGGTGGGAGCGAGGAGGCGAGGAGGCGGGAGTGGAGCCGGTGGCCTCGGGCCTCCAGGCAGGAATGTGGTGGGGTGACTAATGGGGGCAGCGGTTTGGCCAGCCCGGACCCTCCACCCCTGGTAGGTGGGGAGAGAGAGACTGAGCAGAGAGGTGGGGGGTCTTCTGAAGGGAGGAGTACCAGGCCCCAGGGAGTCAAGTCAGAACAAGCATTTAGAATACCTTGGAATGCAGAG